TCATTTAAAGATACCATTATCTGATTCTAAAGATTTGAATCGCACAACAGACCAAGAAGGAATATTATTCTCCGATGGCGATTTACGATCTTTCCTAGAAGGTCGAGTGAATTTGTCACAGAAGCAAAAGACTCAGATTGAAGCTCATCTAAATAAACAATCATCATTCGATCAACGTATATTTTCAACATATTCAACGAGTACGAATCAACCAGCTAAAATATATACACCAGATGACAGTATATTTTCTAGTTATGGAACGGAGAACACGCAGTCGCAAAGTTATTTAACAAAATCACCAATTTTTGATTCGAAAGATGTTAACACATTCGTCGATCTGGAAGAAATATTCGTCTCTGCTGATGATTTACAATCGTATTTACAAGGACGAAGTAACCTATCGTTGGCTCAAGAAGCACAAATTGAAGCTTATTTAGCTAAACAAACATCCTTGAATAGAAGTACATTTTTAAAATATTTCACAACTAAAAGTACGCCAACGAAAATATCATTACCTGGCGATAAATTAGAAGTTTATTCTAAAGGACAAACAAATTTAGCGCTCAGCGAACCAATTCAATCATCAGAAGTTGCTTTACAAAATGTAACTTCTACCATAGCATTTACTACTAAAAAGCCAACTAGTATACGACGACCTTGGCAATCGATTATTAATGGTAGTAATGATGTTGATGATAATATTGAACAACCTTCTGATATCTATGCTGATTCAACTGACAACAAGAATGTATCGATTGATATACTTAATGAAATTTCTCAGTGGTCATCATCAACATCCTTGATCTCACCGTTACAGACAGATACTTCTCTCAAGTCAACTAAGCAACCACCTCATTCAAAAACATCAATCAATACACCATTAAAAGAAGCCCTAGTAACAATCCCATCAGATACAACAAAATCAGATTTTATATTCAATGAAAAATCCCGAACTGATAATCCAATTCATCGACTATCAGCAGTATCGTCATTAGATCAACGAACTCAAGACACTTCTAATGTAAGTCTCATATCATCCACATTATCGATAAATGATTCGTCAACTTTAAAATATCATTCTCTCGTAACTCAACTCAATCCAAATCTCATGAATGAAAATGTGACTCAACATTTTAATAATTATAATCAACCGACAAGCATTCATGACGATGACGATAAAGTAAATTTTTCTCTTTTTTCAATGAAGTTTAAATCAACAATGGATCCAAAATTTTTACAAACTACTCCACGACAATTAATATCAACTAATGTTCAAAGTATCTCAGCAGACATCAATGTTGATCAAACTTCATCAGACTTAATAGCCATTTCAGCTGATAATATTACAAATATAAGTTCATTATCACTAGTGACTCATCAATCGAACACACAAATTACCGTTAATCAAACTCAAACATCTTCTCCACAAATTCATGATATTATAATTCTTTCAATGTTTCAAAATCTTAGCGTTTTACATAATCGATCTAATATAAATGACACATCAAAACCATATAATACTGTGGAAGTTAATCTTAATGACGAATCAATTAATATTAAACAAACTTCAACATCACCAATTTTAATCACAAATGATACATCGATTTTAATTACAACATCCGATCATATTAATCAAAATATAAAAGATAAAATTAACCATAAACATTCTTCAGCCATGTCAGTAGATGTCAATGTTACTTCTACCTCTCACCCACCATCATCGCTTATTGTATCTAATACAACCTTGCTTCCTTCACGTCGTTCACCTCTATCATCAATATTGCACTATTCTTCACATCCATATTCAAGCACTAAGTCACCAAAATTTACTTCATTCTCATCACGAAAACTCTTTTCAGACACCACCATCACTACTACTACTACCACCACCCCAACAACAATAGCAACAACAACAACTACAACATCAATAGCAACAGCAACAACTACAACATCAATAGCAACAACAACACTAATAACATCAATAGCAACAACAACACTAATAACATCAATAGCAACAACAACACTAACAACATCAATAGCAACAACAACACTAACAACATCAATAGCAACAACAACCATAACAACACCAACAACAATGCTATTATCTTCAGAAATAACAACAATGCCTTCATATTCGACTATTTTTTCGTCATCTACTAGTACATTACAATCATCACATGAATTTTCATCAATACAAACGACTAATGAAGCTCGAACATCACATATAAAACAATCGAAATTAATTACTACTCTTGCTGATATGTCTTCTTCGCCTCCGGTAACAACGTATCAACCGCATTGGACATCAACTATTACTTCGACATTATTTCTTACTACCAATGAACAATTGCTAACAACAACAGTTGATTCATATACATCTAAACTTCCAGAAATCTACATCGAATCATCATCATCATCATCATCATCATTATCATATGTAAAATCTACTGAAACATTCACTACTAATTATCAATCAATAACAACTACTCTCGTTCCTACTACTAATCTTGATTCTTCTCCAACAATAACATCAGATAAAACTTCAATGGATTCTACTTTAACTACTACGAATGAAGAAAATCTTTCACTATCTAATTATCAACCATTGGAAACAACTGAGACATTACATTTATCATCACTAATTACTGATCAATATCAAGAAGAATTTACTTCATTAAAATTTGCATCGACAATTGTTCCTCACGTTTATAAATCAAAGATTTTCTCGACGTTTGAACATTCTACTTTACGAACTAGTTATCCGCCAACAAGCAGCATAGCTACAACAACGATTACATCAACTACCACCAGCACTACCACAACAACAAAAACTACAATACGCCGATATAGAACTCGAAAATCGAAGACAACTAGTTGGAAAACACAACCATTATCGACTAGTTTTTCTTCTCCAGCTACTTCCACCATACCTTCATATCGAACAACCATTAACACTGGTATGTTATAGAGTTTCTCTTTAAGCTCCCTTCAAAAAACAAAAATCAATTTTCGTCCGAATTTTATCGACCTGATCTTTCATAAATGACATAATTTAATCGTGCATCCCAGAGTTCTCGAAAGAGTTTCATCATTGCCGATTGCTTTTCTTTTTTGCTTGAAAGACCATGTCAAGATGTAGAGCATGACAGAACTAGTTTTTTTGAATTAAGCTTTATGACTATTACATAAAAGAGTATCAGTTCTTGAGATATTGAACTTTCCTCTCCCTTAAAAAAGTAAGAAGAAGAACTGTCATGCTCTTTCAAACAAAAAAATTAAGTATATAGAATGAGCACCTACATAAAATTTTGGTTTGTCAAATCAGCTAGTTTTGGTCATTGTTTGTTGAATATTTTCCGATAACATTATGGTATAGGGCTGAAAACTTCAACATAGTCTTTCCACTATAGTCTCAAGATCGATCTTTGGAAGGGTAGAGACAACCTTGAAATAATATTTCATTTACAACCATCTGTAAAGGACGTTCAGATAATAATTGTATTCTTTTTACCTTTTCCTTCCTTCTGTCCAAAAATGTTCGACTTTGACTGATCTTCCCCTACTCTAGATGTCCACTTTCCAAATTTTCTTAGAAAGTGTCAATTTGTCCTAATATATTGTTTTTTTTGGCCTTAAATGACTGATATGCATGATTGACCTCATAGAACTCTGAGAACTGGCTCTTTTGAAATGCTGCTCAAAAGTAGTTTCATGAAAAACGCTTAAACAACGACAAAAGTCTAGTAATAAGTGATCGGACGTTCAAACGTGCCTGAGCCGAAGGAGAAGCAATAGACTTCAGAAGACTTCACGAGATTTTATGGAACTTTAACGTATTAAAATTTGTTAGTGCATGCAATCCGACACATTTCTTCACCATCTTTTTACTTTATCCTCTGGAAATGCAATAAGGAAGTAGTTTATATATTATAACAAGACGTTATTGATATACTATATTTGATTGTATATCAACAACATCTGTCAAGGTCTGTGGCGCAGGATGTGAGGGAGAGATGGCGTTGTTAAAGCGTCTATCACATCTTTGGGAGAGAGTCCCAATTTCTACCCTATACTTCAACATTTCGTTTAGATTATGTTTCACAAAAGCTATAACTTAAAGATTTCCAAACACTATGTATCTTCCAAAGACTTTAAAAGATTCCTAGGACTTCAAGAGACTGAAGTCTTTGCCGTTTCTCCCATTGATCTGACCTTTTCTCATTCTCCATTCTTCTAACGTCTTGTATGGATTGCTTCTTATTTCTACATCTATTAGATTATAAATTACCAACATCTACACAAATATCGACTTGGCCTTCTGAATGGAATTTTCCTAAACAACAAGAGACAATTCTTATAAAACCATCATTAATTAAAAATAATTCTAATACACTTTTATCTAATGATTTACTTAATGAAATATTTAATAATCTATCAACATCAACAAATTCTTCAACAGAAAAATATATTTATTTTAATTTAAATAATTATCCACCATCATCATGGAATTTATCATTAAATTCAAATGATAATATTGTTCTTGATGTTATATTACCAATATCAACTTCATCAACAAATTTAACATTTACAAATATTGAAGCAAAAAGAGTAGTAACAAATATAATTGGTAAACCAATTAATTTACAAGTTGATCGTGTACAAACAAAACAATTTTCATTAGTAATGAATGCAACAGATAATAATTTAAATTCAAATCGTACAAGATCATATATATCTGATGTTATTATTGGTCATGTTAAAAGTGAACAATTTGAATTAAATTTAACTAAAACAGATAATATGCATGTACGAGTACGACAAGTTGATGCAGCAACAGCTGAACTTTATCTTGATAGTAATTTTTGTACAAATGAAAGTAGTTTAGAAATTAATTTAAATCTTTCACAAAATGGTAAAAAAAATTCTTTTTTTTTTTATTTTGTTCTTTTGTTAATTTCATATATATATATATATATATATAAATATATGTTTTTATTATTTTAAAAGGAACAATTCGTTATGGTAATCGAAAACCAATACATATTGGACCAGTTTTTACTCGAGTACATATGCTTAAACAATCATGTGATCGTGAACAACCATTAGCATTATTTTTCGATATATGTGAACGAACAAATCCATGTTTAAATCATGGTATATGTCAATCTATTATGCCTGATTATAATGATAAATCATATTCAAATACAGACACTGGACATGTTGGTTATAAATGTGAATGTCCATTACATACATCAGGTGAACATTGTCAATATTTACAATATCCATTAGGTTATTGTTTAAATAGTGGAACATTATTTGAAACAAATGATATATATAATAATACAATTGAAAAATGTATTTGTACAAAAGGTTTTCGTGGTGAACATTGTGAAGAAAATATTGATAACTGTATTGGTATAACATGTTCTAACCATGGTATATGTGAAGATGGTATTGATCAATATAAATGTTCATGTTTTGATGGTTATTATGGTTTTAATTGTGAACGTAAATATGTACAAATTGTTTTATTACAAGCAGCAAGTAGATCATTTGGTATTGTTGCAATATTATTAATTGCTACTATAGCTGCTCTTGTTGTTGCTAGTGATATCCATACATATGTAACAAGAAAACATCAAACATATAGATTACCACATAGAATTCCACGTGTAAAATCAGAAGTATTTGAAAATTCCGTACTTTTACTTGGATTTAGTGATGCACCTATTGAAATGAATGATTTATCAACTGTTCGACAATGGAAAAAACCAATAATATTAAAACAACGTCAAACAAATCGAACAACAAGATTTAGAAAAACAACAGGTTATCAACAACTTTCGAGAAGAAAACAATTAACAATCATTCCAAAATCATCATCATCATCATCATATCGACGTTATGCAGCATCAAATCGACTTAATCAAACAATTCTTTAAAAAACCTTTTTTTTTCGTTTTGTTTTGTTTTATTGGCTTTTTTTTCTTTTGCTTGTGTTTCATATCTATATTTGATAATAATAATAATTAGAGATACTATTTTCATTTCTTCATGGTTGGGTAAAGCTTGTCGGACTACTTATGAAAATGTTGTTTTCGAAGTATTCAGATGATGTTTTGCTAGTAAAACTTGGAAAAATTAAGTTTAAAAATATCAGAAAAGCCTGGAAAAATTGCAACACATTAAACTTATCAAGCCTTGGTAGTCTCATTATTTCTCCGAACTTTTCTTATATTACTCGTCATATAGCTAAAAAATTTATGCATATTTTTTCGAAAAAATATTGTTTGATTGTTGAGAAAATTGGTAATGTCATATCCAAAATCAACATAAAAAGTCTGCGTAGAATAATATATTTAATACTCAAAACTAATTTTTGTCAAATTTTGATCTTAGGAGAACTACAGGTCAGAGTATTTGAAAATAATAATGAAGCGAATAGTATTGGTAAAATACACTCGGATCCATTCTGAGCACTGTTCTATATGCGAAATATATCAGTTAATAGAGCTTCAAATTCTGAGTCTAATAGGCTCCACTCTGAGTCAAAATCTCAATAAAACTAATGTTTGGAAAATGAAGTTAAATGTACTTCTGCTACATATTTTGAACTGACTAGAGCCATCGGGCATTTACCACAAATTCATCTAAAGTCATTTTTTTAAACGTTTATTTTTTGTAAAGATCAAAATTTGACGAAAATTAGTCTTGAATATTTAGCATACGATTCAAAGCAGACTTTTTGCGCTGATTCTGAATATGATAGAGCTGAAGTTCTACTCGTGAAAACTTCTGAATACGAACCTGTTTTTATGATTTTTTTTTTATCATATCGAAAGAAAATTGATTTTCTCAGCAATCAAATAACAATATTTTTTAAAAAGTATGCATCAATTTTTTCCTAACTATATGATGAGCAATATCGAAGAAGAAATTAGAATAAATATTGAGGCTGCCGAAACCTGATACGTTTGGCATCTTTCATTTTTTATAGGATTTTTTTTGGTATTTTGAAACAAAGCTTTCCTAAGTTTTACTATAAAAAAAAAGTCATCTGAATATGTAGAAAAACAACGTTTTTATAGGCAAATCAACGAGCTCTCTTCAATCATGACAAAAAAAAATTTTGCTCAAATTTTCTCATTCATAGGTATAATTGAGAATATCTTCTCTCTGTAGAATCTCATTCTCTAATCTTATCAAAAAGATTTAAGAAATATAATGTCATAAAACACTTTATTTAAACTAAAAACTATCAAACTTAACTCATTTGGAAAGTATTTGACAAGTCCTAATTCTACTTTCCAAGAAAAACTGCTGATTACTTCAACAATTGTTTAGTATATAGCAAAAAAAAACCTATTCCCTAGTGCTGAAAATTCGCTTATATTTATTTTAAAAAATTGTAGATGACAAGATGATCTAATTCTTAAAATATTCGACCATCTTCACTGCATCGGTTGGTCAGATGCTATCTGAATTTGACAACAATTGTTAGTCAACGAAGATCATCCGAGCATGCAAAAAAAAAAAACAATTAATTGTATTGTGAAATTTCACACGATAAAGACAAAACAAAAATGGCATCATGTAGGTCAACACTTATTTCCTACTTATATGACAAGTGCGACAACAAATGTATATGCTAATCATTTTTAAAGAGAAAAATATTGTTAGCTTTTTTTATGATGGTTTTTACGACGCCATATATATATCATTTATTTATTTGTTATGAGAATAAATCGAATGACAATGAAAATGAGAAAAGTCCAATTATTCAATATATTTTAAAATTTATAAATTTTCAAACTTTGTAATTGCATATTAAACAAATTATTTTGTTTATTTGTTTTTATTTAAATGGTTTGTTCTAATGTATTCAATATCATAGATTTCTATTGAATGATTAACAAAGATTTTGAACAATGTATTTTTATGTATTATTTTTAAATAATTATTCTATCAAACAATTGCCTTAACTGACAAAAGTGATAAATATTAAAATATAAAAATAACATGATGATGAATTTGTCTACAGATTGTTAAATATGATATTGAAATGATTTTAATCATGATGTATGATACTATCAAACAATAATTGCAGTGATTTGTATATGTTGTTAGAAGCCATGAATAGTTTTCGTAATAATACAATTCATCCTGATATTAATCTTATGTTAAAACTAATTAGAAAATATGTAAAATCTGTTAATTTTATTAAGTTATACGTGTATTTGGATTTTTTCAATGATGATTGTGTTGATATTTAATGGAAGAATCAATCATGTCAACAAGTTAACATGTAAAGTTTATGTAAACTCATTTATTTAAAGTTATGATTTCTTTTTTTTTTTTTTTGCTATTTCTAACGAACAAAGAACAAGAAAATATTTTTAATGAATCGAAATTCAAAGTACTTTATCAATGATGATGATGATGATGTCATTTATTTGATTTCTTAATCACATAGAAACATGTGTTTTTTGTTTTGTTATATCCGAATGTCTAAGCTAATTTCATACATACATTCAATCTTAATATTGTCTTTCTTCAAGCACAGAAAATTATCGGTTTATAGGTTTTTATCATAAGTATAGTTCTGCATATGTTCAATAAGAAAAAGAAAAAAAGAAATATGTTAAAATGCTTCTATTTCACTCATTTATCATATTGATTGAACATATAATGGCTTTGTTCGCGTGTATACACATTTACTCATAATTCATTGTTCAGACAACCAATCAGCTACACTCGATTTCGCTTTCTACTAATGATCAATAGGTATATGTTCTTCGGTACATTACTGTGAATAAAAAAAAACAAAAAAGACAAAAAAAAAAAGCGAATGATAGTTATTCAACTGACAGCAAGGAAAAGAAAAGTGGTATACAAATGCAAAAAAAAAA